CTCGTAAGTGGATATCAGGCCCTTGTAGAGCAAAATTGAGTATTTTGGTCTAAATAACCCAAAATGTGATGTCCACATATGTGGACGCCAGGTCCTAGGAGGTTAAGAGGCAGAGAGGAGGATGTTACTCTCAGTGTTGTTGGCGCATTTCAGGAGGACGCTGCTAATAAAGTTACACCACTACACAGTGAATTCACGTTTATTATGTTATTTACAAAATACCACCATATTCGTCTTGGTCGTATGATTTTATTTTGTTGTATTTATCCGCGACACCTTAAAGGCCGGTCCATGAAAATATTGTCTGACATTAAACCGGTCTGTGGTGTAAAAACGTTTCGGGACCACTGTCTTAGTCGACAGGTTATCTTGTGTTTATTTGTTGCTATTATTCGCTATTCCTCTTGAACTTACTGCACCCCTGGCTGAACCGAGCTGCACTCTGTGTGCTTTCAGAGCCGGGTTGGTGGTTTTGGCTGCAGCCTGGCACCCGTCCGACACTCCCTGCCTGGCCTACTTCTGCCTGGTCACCCTGCAGGACAACGGAGCCACCATCTCTGACCAGTTCACCGTGGAGGTCACAAAGTACAGCTCTCCCTTCCAGGTCAGACCTGAAGCTGCTACTGCAGCAGTGGTGTTTTTGTGATTTGATCTATTAGAGGATCAGTTTGGTCATTCTCTTCTTGTGTAAAACCCTGCTCATCAAGAAGAGCCTGATAATTACAACCCTCGATTATAATTAAAACATTAACCACTTTGAGCAACGCAGAAAGAGTGGAACTGTCCAAACAAGTGACAGTGAAACTACAGGACATTGTAAAATAAAGTCCAGCATTTACAGTTCCTATTATAAGAGTGAAGATATTTATGCTTTTATTTTGAAAGCCTTGAGTTATTCTGTTATTTCCTCAGAACATGGAGACCCTGCAGGCCACTCGGCTGGCGTTGCCTCGTTCCCCTGGCTCCACAGCCTTTCTGTACACTGAGGACGTCGTGTTCGCCTGCTCAACAGGAACCAACCGGGTCGCAGTTCCTGATGAGAAAATCAGCTTTAACTCACCAGGTGGGAAAGTTGGAACGTTAGAGCAAGAACTCCTTCATTTTGTCACTATTACTGCACATAATAGTCAACGAAATTAATACTGTGGTCAGTGAATAGTTTTGTTTTTCAATTAAGTTAAATGAAATTCCTGATTCTGTAGGATAAACTTCTTTTGGCGTTGGTCTGAAATTCAGTTACACAGAAGTATTGAATATGTTTCAAAAAATGAATTAAAATCTGTAACATCACTGAACAAAGTTCTTTTTCATAATACAAACAAATTTCACCTGCATCTCAAAAATCTATAACTGATCAAATGTTGCTTGAATAAGTCAACTTTATCATATTTAGCAGGTTTTTGTCCACTGTGTTGGTGTGAGAGGATTAAACTGTAAGTTGCTTCGAAGACTCAGATATTCCTAAAAGATAAAATTGTTCGAGAATGTTTTGGTTAGGGATGAATTAAGAAAAAATATAATAAAGTATTTGTAAAGGAACAAATAATTCACTCGACTTGTTCAAT